ATGATCATAGGTGAGACGATCTTCAATTTGTTGGAGGAGTGACTGATACTGAGCAGCACAGAGATGTATGCTTGGATCAATCCAGCGATTTGATGGTTCTGTTTCTGACAGGATGATTCGTTCTTCTCTCTGCAAAGATGGATAAGTTCTTCGATTTGGTGCAGGCCGGCTAGAACCTCCATATCTTCCGGTACCTCCTCTGTTGGCTATTCTGTAATTTAGTCACAATTTTGGAGCAGGAGATTGCACCTCATTGGACTTGACTCCTTTGGCTTTTCTTTTGGACCTAGAGAAAGGGATCATAATAATGATCTGCTGTGAAATCTTCACCGAGGCCCTCATATGCAGGAGAAGGATCACGACCTGCGTTGTAGACTCAAATTCGGTTACAAGTATAGTTGCCCAGTCTAAAGCATTCTGTGCTAAATGCAATGTTTTAACCTGCGCACTATGTGCCAACCATTACTTCAACTATTCCAAGTTCGTCATGCAGAAACCACCCATCCCATACAATCAGAAGCCATTACTCCAGGAACAGCAGGAGTACATTAGATGGTGTGAAGCAGAAATGAAGAGGCTTCGTGATGAAGCAATCCAGTATAAAACTGAGCTTGAAGATCTCAGACTGAGCATACAACTGGAAAAAGAAATAAGAGCTCTTCCTTGTGATTGTATCAACATACGTTGTGTTGAACTAAGATCATAGCCAACAGATCCGGTAGTTGCTCGAGAAGGCATAATAGCACTTGGATCTATTTTGACAAAATTCACGGCATCGCAATCACTATACTTCAAATTCCATTTGGACTCTATGGAAGAATTGCTCAGCGCCGCCCATTGAATCACTCAATGTTCTAACGGAAGGTGGTGAGTAATATAATCTGTAAATGCTATCCATCGCGATCGTGATGGTTTATGCTCCACTGTCTTGTTGAAGTAACTGATTATGGCCTGGAAATCAGTCCTTAACGTTAGATGGGATTTGTCATCATCATCATCGTCGTCAGGAGGATATTCATCAGTAGGACTGATCACAGCAGAATGGCAGTTTGTCACCGTATTGGTTGTCATTAGTAGCGGCTCTTGCGACGGCTTCCAGTTTAAGCTGGATGACCAGTATGATACTTTGGGACAACCAAGTGGAAAATATCAAAATTTGCCAAACTTGGCTATCCCACCAGAAGGATGTGTCATGAATTCATTCTGGTGAGGGATCATAATAATGATCTGCTGTGAAATCTTCTTCTTCCTTTACTTCGAGCAGGTTGACACATATTGCGGGTTACTGTGCTTTGCCCTGGTAATAAATTAATTCTTCCATAGAGTCCAAATGGAATTTGAAGTACTACTCAGTCTCTGTTTCCTCCATCTTGGCAATGATATTTCACAGCAGATCATTATTATGATCCCTCACCAGAATGGATTCTTCATTCTACTGTGATCAGTCCTACTTTTGAAGAAAAATTCCCAAAGTTGATGAAGCTAAATTTCCTTGTTCAATTCGGTGAAGGACTTGTAACCGAATTTGGACCACTCACACCACTTACTAATGATCCATTGCCCAGTGATAGAAGGCCAGAATGTACTACTTGCAAAAGAAGTTCAGCATGGAATCCATGTAGGAGCAGGTGTTATTGATCCAGATTATCGTGGTGAAGTTAAAGTCTTATTATTCAATCTTGATCTAGAATGTTTTGAAGTGCAACCGGGACAAAGAATTGCACAAATAATATTTGAAAGATGAGAAGGCCCAACCAAGAGCGTAAGCCCTTAGTCTCTTTGAGTTTTTCATCAGGAAATTGGGCTACACGAGTAATGATATGGGTTTGCAATTTTATTTCACCATGACCAATTGTCGAGCCCAAGAAATCCATTTGTACTGCAGCTATCTTTTGGTTGGACTTAAGATAAGCCCATTCCTCTGGCAGATTTCCAACATGGACTGGATGTGTTTCGCATGAGACTTCTCATCTGGTGAGAAAACCAAGATGTCATCAATATAGACGGCAATGAAGTCTTCAGTATTTTTGAAGCAAATATCCATCTTCCTTTGGAATACTGCAGGAGCATTCTTTAATCCGAATGGCATTACTAACCATTCATATAATCCAAGAGGAGTCCAGAATGCTGTCCATTCAATAAAATCAGGGTGCATAGCAACCTGATGAAATCCGCTTTTTAAATCAAACTTCGAATAAATACGACTATGACCAACCTTAGCCATAGTAGTATTTATACCAGGAAGACTATACTGATCCTTGTAGGTATTATCATTGAGCCTTTTGTAGTTGCAAACCATTCGCTCTTTGCCACGTTTTTCCTCCTTCGTGACTGGATCAACGTATGTTCATGAATTAACAATGAAAGCAGTAGTTCGATGTCTGCTTTTGCTTGGCCTGATCACCTTGAGCTCCAGAAGCTGATCAATATGTTTCTTGAAACTTTCTTTCATTGCAGGAGTGATATGCTTCATGGGCTTGTCATCGATGATGAAATCTGAATTCTTTAAATCCAATTTACAAGTGATCTGATTTGAGGACCAAAGCTTCATAGGGTTTTCACCTATGACTTCACAATTTTGTAGCTGCTTCATCAACTTTGGGAATTTTTCTTCAAAAGTAGGACTGATCACAGCAGAATGAAGAATCCATTCTGGTGAGGGATCATAATAATGATCTGCTGTGAAATCTTCTTCTTCCTTTACTTCGAGCAGGTTGACGGATTGCCTTGTTTGAATAGTAATCACATTTTTCATTCCTCTAGCAGATTTCCAACATGGACTGAATGTGTTTCGCATGAGACTTCTCATCTGGTAAGAAAACCAAGATGTCATCAATATAGACGGCAATGAAGTCTTCAGTATTTTTACAGCTTTCCGTTCCATCTTGGAGGCAGGATCCAGATGATTATCGGATGATGTATTCATGAATGCGGTTTTCCTTTATACAGAAGCCGCAGAAGCAGAAGAACTTAATGCTTTTGAAGCTGAACGCCATCAAATTCTCGCCACTGGATGGGAAGACGATGAAGATGAACATGAAGATAGCTGCAGTACAAATGGATTTCTTGGGCTCGACAATTGGTCATGGTGAAATAAAATTGCAAACCCACATCATTACTCGTGTAGCCCAATTTCCTGATGAAAAACTCAAAGAGACTAAGGGCTTACGCTCTTGGTTGGGCCTTCTCAATTATGCTCGCAGCTATATAAAAGATTTGGGCCCGTTACTTAGCCCACTTTATTCAAAGGTCAGCCCAAATGGAGAACGAAGACTCAATGCCCAAGATTGGAGCTTGATCAGGGAAATTAAGGCCCATGTTCAAAATTTGCCAAACTTGGCTATCCCACCAGAAGGATGTGTCATCATCCTTGAAACAAATGGTTGCATGGAAGGATGGGGAGGAATATGCAAATGGAAGAAGGCATTAAAAGATCCTCGTTCAACTGAGCGAATTAGTGCCTATGCAAGTGGCAAGTTCAATCCAATCAAATCCACCATAGATGCTGAGATATATGCCTGCATACATTCCCTTGAAGCATTCAAGATATATTATCTTGATAAATCCCATCTAACGTTAAGGACTGATTGCCAGGCCATAATCAGTTACTTCAACAAGACAGTGGAGCATAAACCATCACGATCGCGATGGATAGCATTTACAGATTATATAACTGGTCTAGGCATAGAAGTATCTTTAGAACATATCAATGGTTCTGATAATACTTTAGCTGATGCTTTGTCTCGACTTGTTTACTCATTATGCTCAATTACAGAATGGCCAACAGAGGAGGTACAGGAAGATATGGAGGTTCTAGCCGGCCTGCACCAAATCGAAGAACTTATCCAGCTTTGCAGAGAGAAGAACGAATCATCCTGTCAGAAACAGAACCATCAAATCGCTGGATTGATCCAAGCATACATCCCTGTGCTGCTCAGTATCAGTCACTCCTCCAACAACTTGAAGATCGTCTCACCTATGATCATGGAATCTCTGGAGACGAATTTGCAGAAATCCAAGCTTCCTTATCCAATGAGGAAGATGATGCCATACAGCAAGCTAGAACAGCCCTGCAACAGCTTGTCAAAATTCAACAGCTTAAACTGGAAGCCGTCGCAAGAGCCGCTACTAATGACAACCAATACGGTGACAAACTGCCAGAAGTCCATCAACAAACCTGTGAGCTCAAGGAAATAGATAATGAGCTATTTGATGTCGTCATGCTAATGCGCCTCTTTCGCTACTGATGGTGGAAGAACGTGGTGGACCCCCTTTCTTTGTCGACTTGTGAGATATTATATGCTTTGATAAAGCATTAGTAAGTGGTGTGCGATATTGTGTAAAAGTATTTTGTCGTATTAGTCTGTCAGTGTTATCCCACTTCAATCACTACTCAGTTTTACTGAGAAAAGCTGTTGGGATTTTTATTAAAAGTCTTTTGGCGTCTTGTGCTTTGATAAAGTTATGCTTTATGCTTTATTAAAGAGAGAATCTTTGTGTAGTGGAGCATCCAATAATGTGTCGATGAGGCCCAATGTGTACTCGACATTATTGCATCCTACCTCTACAATTCTCTATAAATAGAGTCAGTTTGTAATACTCTAGCATCAAAAGAAGTTAGAACAACTAAACTTGGTACTTGAGTTTGAAGTTTGTAACCACTCTGAAGTTTGAAGTTTGAATCTCAGGTCTGAATGTTTTCTATCTAGTTCTTATATTCTTATCCTGAATTTGAATTTCATTATTCTTTCCGCGCTTCCCCTTTTGGTATCAATTGTGAAGTCATAGGTGAAAACCCTATGAAGCTTTGGTCCTCAAATCAGATCACTTGTAAATGGTCTGGTAAGGAAAATACACGATTCTTCCACCATCAGTAGCCAAAGAGGATGAACTGAGCGAGCAAATATAGCACCCGCTGAGGTGTTATACAGATCCCGACGAGATGATGCTCATCACAGGGTCTATGTTCATAGATCGGTTTGCAACTACAAAAGGCTCAATGATAATACCTACAAGGATCAGTATAGTCTTCCTGGTATAAATACTATTATGGCTAAGGTTGGTCATAGTCGTATTTATTCGAAGTTTGGAATTTTGCAAAGAGATTCCTATTCCAGGATATTACGGTCGTGATCCTTCTCCTGCATATGAGGGCCTCAGTGGAATATGAATATTCAGACCCTGTGATGAGCATCATCTCGTCGGGATCTGTATAACACCTCAGCGGGTGCTATATTTGCTCGCTCAGCCATTGGGAAAGGTCTCCTGGCATCTTTGACCATAGCTTTTTAATATTCATTGGTGTATGTCCTGTAGCAGGTGGATAACCTGGAGGACCCATCATTGAGTCAGTTGGAGGGTTGTAATTGGAGACTGCCGATGGCATTGAGTCTTCGTTCTCCATTTGGGCTGACCTTTGAATAAAGTGGACTAAGTAACCGGCAAAATTGGCAAGGGATTGAGGTTGTTGGTCTTCCTTGTAATCTCTACAGTGCTCTTCGTGCTCTTCGTTTGCCCTTTGTTCGTAGTTCCTTTTCATCTTTTTCCAGTTGTATGCTCAGTCTGAGGTCTCCTGGCATCTTTGACCATAGCTTTTCAGACAATTCCTCTCCAACACATGGCTCTGATGAAGTTACATCCGATAATCATCTGGATCCTGCCTCCAAGATGGAACGGAAAGAGAAGCTCATGTGGACGCAATGGCGGATGAAGTACACAGATGAGTTCGCTAATTTAGTCACGATTGGCGAAGGAAATGAAGGTACATAGAACATCATTTCAAGGAAGAGCTCTTATTCCATTCTTGTGTTGACATCAATAAGTTTTTCCAGCTTCTTAATTTGCGGGTACTCAGTCTCTGTTTCCTCCCGATTTGATGGTTCTGTTTCTGACAGGATGATTTGTTCTTCTCTCTGCAAAGCTGGATAAGTTCTTCGATTTGGTGCAGGTCGGCTAGAACCTCCATATCTTCCAGTACCTCCTCTGTTGGCCATTCTGAGTCTACAACGCAGGTTGTCGCTCCAGTATCGCCTGCTCCTACATGGATTCCATGCTGAAAAGCAAGACCTGATCGAGGGATCATAATAATGATCTGCTGTGAAATCTAGGTCCAAAAGAAAAGCCAAAGGAGTCAAGAGGGCTCATATGCAGGAGAAGGATCACGACCCCAGATGAGAAGTCTCATGCGAAACACATCCAGTCCATGTTGGAAATCTACCAGAGGAATGGGCTTTTGTAGAAACAATCGCTCAAGGAGAAATAAAGGAACGACCATTCATCCAGGAAGAAAGTTAAATTATTCTTGCTATTGCTATAATCGAAATCCGTAAAAATCATTTATGATTAAATTACCAGTACCAGTTAGAGATTGTTCCTAAATATGTATATTTTTTTGATTTTTTATGAAAAAATATACAAAAAAAAATAAAGAGAAGATATGATCTAAATAAATATACTTATTTAAAAAATATCAAACAAAACCTTAACCACATATTTAAGAAATAAAATTAATATTTTCTTGAAATAGCATTACTCTATAGAATATTATTCTGAGCCAGTCGGTTAGCCAGTACATCAGGGTCCCCTCCTTGTATTTCTTACTTGCAGGGCCATTGAACCCACTTTTAGGCCTAATTTTGATAATCCGAACCGTTCATATTTTAAGATTTGTTTAGTATATCATACCTGTAAAAAATCAAGTTGATCAGATATCAGAAAACATATGTTCGGAAAACTCGAACTAAAAACTATTTTTTTAAAGAATTTATAAACAGTTTTTCGAACACATGCTTTCTGATATCCGATCAACTTGATTTTTTACAGGTATGATATACTGAACAAATCTTAAAATATCAATAATTCGAATTATCAAAATTAATCTTAAAAGTAAACCTAATAGCCTTACAAGCAAGAAATGTAAGAAAAAAATGTAAAGAGGGGATCTTGATTCTAGCCGGTATACCGTCACGTAATGTAATCTTTCAACTAATTCTATCACGTAAAAGATTTGTATAATAATGTTATGTTTCAGGTAAAGTAGAACATATCTTGTGGCCAATGGCCGAACCACATGGGCACTAGGGTCACGTGCCTTCTGGATTTTTTATTTTACATATATAAATAAAATTTTAAATAAAAATAATATTTAGAATAAAATATTAAGAGTATTTTTAAATTTATGAAATTAATAGTAATTGTTTTATTAAAAATGAAGTGACTATAACAAATTATATTTTTATGTATGAAAATTTTGTAAAAAAATCTCAGTATAAAGGTAATATCTATTATTATTGATATGCAAATATAATTAATCTTACGATATATATGTAAAAATTACTAAAGTGTTAGTTATATTTGTATGTGGAGTTCACCTTTCATATGTTGCTTTAATATTGGTTAGTAATATCATATTCAATAATGATGTGATATCATTATTATATGAAATTTTTACTCAAATTTTGTAAAAATTTGATTTATCTTGCCATTATATAATTTATTTTATGATTTAAATATATGACTTTTTTATAATGTCCATAATACACTAGTTACACGCAATAATTTCTTTTTGATTTTACTCAAAGTTAATTGTAAAATTTTATGTGAAATACTTTATAACAATTTATTGCATGCATTAGGTTCAGTTCATCATTCCCATCGTTGTCATTTCCTACTTACTTGAATACGTGCGCTACCGCATGCTTTGAGTTGATTAGTATGACATGTTAAACAAACCAGACCTAGTAGTTGCATTTTTTATGTGTTGCATTAGTCACTTGCATATTAGAGCATGTATTTTTCTAGTTATTTTTTTCTCTTTGAGTTGCCTCGATTGAGTACTAGGTGAGCATTTTTTTGATTTGGCATATTGCATATGTGTTTGTGTTGCCATATCAAGCATATTACCATGAAGGTACTTAATATTAATTCAAAATTTATTATTATCTTCTTGTCATTGATAAAAAAAAAAACAATTATAATTAATAAGTATCCCTGATTTAATTTCCTAACTCTTGGGACACAACATGATTGAAGAACTAACCCGCTCATTCATACTGCTACCATTAGGGAGTGTGTGGGATCCACACACCCTTTTGCTCGTTAGATAAAATTGATATTGGAATGCTGGATGTTTTGGTTGAATTTTTCAGAGCCGTGTGTGTTTTACCAATCAATTGTACTGAAATTTGGTCTAAATGGACATATCTGAATCAGTGACATTGTGTTTGGCTCAGGATTTTGTCTAGGAATTTAAAAACGAAAAAAAGAAAAAAAAGTCAAATGCGAGTTAAATGTTTTTAAATTGTTACTTAAATTTATGATACAAATACAACTTAAATAAAATTATAAAAATAAACAAACAAGAAAAAAAATTATAGACTTGGATATAATTGAAGAAGTAGCATATGTAGCTAGATACGGCTATAATAAGGTTTATTTAAGTCATATATGCAAGCATGAAGTCAAAATTAGTGAGAATGCAGACCAGTCTGCAATTGGAGTTAAAATACATTAAATTTGGGAAAATTATTTGTAAAGGCGTGTGAATAAAATTGCATGTAGATTTCATCACTTGGCGTAGAAATGATTATATGGAAACTCCATACTCCTTATATTTGATCTTGTTGATGATAATTGGTGATGATGATGAATGTGCATGCTAATTTGACAGGCAGGTTTCAGCTTTGGAACAACAGCGTACATGTGCTTCATGTTTTCGGTGACAACACCACTGGGAATAGTGTTGGGTATGATCATTTTCTGGTTCACTGGTTACGACGACAGTAGCCCCAATGCCTTGATTCTGGAAGGTCTGTTGGGTTCCCTATCCTCTGGTATCCTTATTTACATGGGTCTAGTCGACCTCATAGCTCTCGACTTCTTCCACAACAAGTTGATGAGTTCCGAGTCATGGTTAAAGAAGGCCTCTTTCATTGCCCTCACACTTGGCTCTACCTCCATGTCTATCCTTGCCCTTTGGGCTTAAGAGTTAGTGTTTTGTGCAAAGCAATGAAAAAAATGATAGTAGTATGTTGGACTATCGGTATTAATTTATCCAAATTGTCAACTGTCCATGCTTAGACATAGGGCGACCAACGTCCATAATACAAATTATTTATTTTTTTGGATTGGAAGCAAATTCTCTCTAGTTGGCTTTGTTAATTAAACTGTTGAACTTCAATGGGTCCACCACGAGTACCAATTATTTATCTTATGAAGCCACATGATTGATTGAAAAATGATATTCGGTCTTTAAAATAATAAATGATTTATCTTCAAAAATTATATTGTCGTCCATTTCTTTGATAACACATTCAATATGATCATGTGCTATGGTTGTTTAACCAATTTAACTTTTTAATGGGTGATTTGCTTGGAAGCAGTAGTGGAGGGAGTAAAGGCCCAGGGACGTCACGTTCCTCAATTGGATTTTGGAATTTTTTTTTAAATTTTTTTTTATAAACATAAAAAAAATATTTTAAATAAAAAAAATTACAAAAATATTGTTAGAGTGAAATGTCAATGACATTTTAAAAATTATGAGAACAATAATGATTATTTTGATTAAAAATGAAGGCACTATTATAAATTATATTTTCTATGAAATTTTTTTAATGTAACAGTGATGTCATTATTATTGACATGTAACTATAAGTAATCCCATTATAAAAATATGAAATTTATTCGATTTTTAGTTACATTTGAAATGTGAGGTTCATTCTCTATATGTTTATATACTATTAGTTGGTGGTATTATCAGTATATTAAATTTTTAATCAAATTTTGTATAATTTTTTTTTATCATTATATAATTTATTTTAAGACTTATATCTACATTTCCATAATACAAATTATTTATTTTTTTGGATTGGAAGCAAATTCTCTCTAGTTGGCTTTGTTAATTAAACTGTTGAACTTCAATGGGTCCACCACGAGTACCAATTATTTATCTTATGAAGCCACATGATTGATTGAAAAATGATATTCGGTCTTTAAAATAATAAATGATTTATCTTCAAAAATTATATTGTCGTCCATTTCTTTGATAACACATTCAATATGATCATACGCTATGGTTGTTTAACCGATTTAACTTTTTAATGGGTGATTTGCTTGGAAGCAGTAGTGGAGGGAGTAAACGCCCAGGGAGGTCACGTGCCTCTAGTGGATTTTGGAATTTTTTTTTAATTTTTTTTATAAACATAAAAAAAATATATTTTAAATAAAAAAAATTACAAAAATATTGTTAGAGTAAAATGTCAATGACATTTTAAAAATTATGAGAACAATAATGGTTGTTTTGATTAAAAATGAAGGCAGTATTATAAATCATATTATCTATGAATTTTTTTTAATGTAATAGTGATGTGATTATTATTGACATGTAACTATAAGTAATCTCATTATAAAAATATGAAATTTATTCGATTATATGTTTATATACTATTAGTTGGTGATATCACATACCAATGATGGCGTGGTATTATCAGTATATTAAATTTTTAATCAAATTTTGTATAATTTTTTTTATCATTATATAATTTATTTTAAGACTTATATCTACATTTTTTTTGGTATTGTCCATGATACACTAGTTACAAATAATATTTTTTTTTTTTTTATGTTTCTCGAAATCAATCATAAAAACTTGCATGAAATATGTTTGTAAAAAATTTCAATATTGAAATTAATAAGTGCTCCCTCTAATTTAATTTTCTGGCTCCGCCGCTGCTTGGAAGTCTATGTAAGATAAACAATTGGGATCATTAAACTAAATCTTGTTATAGGTCTGCTAAGATCCAACAACAGTCTTTTTTTTTTTTTTTTTTTTAACAGAGGGACTAAGAAAACAAACCGCAAAGACTAAGGCTTCGTTTGGGAACAGATTTTTTAGTAACTTTTTAACAAAAATATGATGTAAAAAAAATAGTATGTTTGTGATGAATTTTTAGTTCTTTACGAAAAAATGTATAAAAAGTAGAGAGAAAATGGAATTTTTGACTTTATGATATAGGTTGTTGATATTTTAATTTTTTTAGTAACTTTTTGACTTTTTAGCTAAAATCACTACTTGCTAAACGAGAGCTAAAAACTAAAAAGGCTTCAATCAAAGAAACAAGAGCAGGAGGGGGGGTAAGAAACCCAGTCAAGAGGGAGCTGATCATGGAGAAAAGCTTTCGTCACCCAATTAGCCACCTTGTTAGCATACTTGGGACCCAACGAAGAGAGAAACGCCCTTGTTCAACCAAATGCTTAATGCCGCTAACTATTGCCCCAAATTCTCAATGAGGGACTGTTTCATTGACACTTAGGTAGATGACGATAAACTACTTGATTGAGCAAATAAACAAGCTCATCGACAAGTGAAGGCCTCACCTTGCAGAAAAGAGGTGACACACACCTTTTTAGTAAAACCATCCAACAACATCCCCTTAGAAACCTGCAAAATAGCCATAACCAAGGCCTGATTAGAACCCTTTAAGGTAGCCACATGTGCGTACCGAATACCGCACTAGATGATTGTGGACCGAAGCTCTACACTCGACTGGACTACCCAAGAATCGAGACCCTGCAAAAGTGAATGCCATTAGAGTTGCCTGGCTGGAGTTGGCTGGATAACCCCTCCGGTGTGAGAGTAAATGATCGGAAAAGATGAAATGTTCTCTCTAAGTGCAGAGAGATATGTTCAAGTGAGTATAATGTAGCTCCACTTTGTTACCTTCAATGTGAAGTCCTTGCAGTTTATATAGAATTCCTTACTTGTTGTCCAAGATGGTTTCATGAGACTTTGGTGTTGCCATGTTCCCTTTAACATCGCTCAAGGTAGAGGACCATGAGGTAGTTAACAATGGATGCATATACTCGTTGTATTCATGCTGATAACAGACCACATTCCCCTGATCAACCATTTCTGTGATTCTAGGGAGAGGGGACTAGTTGAGGTGGATGCATGCACATGCATGCATTCATAGCTTCCACGTTTTTTTGAAAGGTTCCCTCAGCTCGATACTGTTGTGCATCAGCTCGGTCATTTGTGAGACTGCTTATAGAGATGGGCTGGCCCATTTAGATATTTTTGTTTAGGCTCAGCCCACTTTGGTTTCTGGCGATGGGTTCGGCCTATCAGTTCGGTCCCAAGATTGAGTCCTGTAGCTCGGCCCAGCCCAGCGTCACGGATAGACTGACCTTTTCAGTGCAAATTGGGCCTAAGTGCTTGAGGACTTGGGGTGGACTGTTGATCATGAAGTTAGGCTTGATTGGCTTACCCTTACACTTATCTAACGCACTTGGACTTGGGTTTAAAGGATTAGGCCGACCCAAGGCTTGGATCTGACCCGTTTATATTTTGCCTTTTCATTTGCCCTCTAGTTCGCACTAAGGTTCCCTTCAGGGGGAGTTACTGTCCAGTACCCCAAGCGTCATGTTGCTTCGGATCCGCCCCAGTTCGGCCTTGGTGGCTATTCGATCCTGACACATGCACTCTACATGGTGACACGTGGCGACGCTATACTAGTGTGCAGAAGTAGTGTGCCGAATCCATACAGAGAGGCATGATTTTGTACCTTCGCACCGATTGAGGGTAATAAATGCTATTGGGGTGTCTATTCAAACCCCTTCATCTATCCCTAAATTTCAGGAAACCCCAAAACCCTTTCATTTTTCCACCTTGGTCCTGACGGTGCTTTGCCCAGATTCTTGCCACCATTACTGCCTCATTCTAGTCTCAAGGATCTTCGCTCGTTGCTGTTACTTCGCTGAATCTCTGCAAGTTCCCCTGAAACCTATCTTTTCTTTTGCTTTTCTGTACTGATCGCCCTCTTTGGTCCTTGCGCCATTGTTTCCGGGGACTGGTTCCATCTCTTTCTTAGTTGAGTTTTGTCCCTACCCTACTAGGTCTAGATAATGGAAAATTTTCAGGCGTTGGTGGGTACTCCTGAGACAATAGTCTTGTTCCACCGTGACGATGGTATCCCTAAGGATGTGACCCTTTTGCTGGTGAGAGTTAATGCCAACCACATGGGTACCAGAAACACTGTTGCTTTCCCCATCATTGCCATTGTTAAAGGAGGGGTCTGGTTTCCCTTGATCCCTTAGTACGCCATTTCATGCACCAAGTTCAACTTACCCCTCTGCAAGTGTTCGTAAACTTGTTTCTAGTCGTCTGTGGTGTTTTCGCTTTTAATAGGCGGTTGGGTCTAAACTTGGACATATGGGACATTTTAAGTTGTTACACCCTTTCACATAATAAAGATCATAGCACCTATTACCTTCGCGTCTGTTCGGCTGACTGGCACCTTGTCATCAGCTTACCTGATTTCGACAAACACAGTGACGATTTCTTACAAGGTGGTAACTGGGAGTTTCCTGCTAGGATTGAGTTCTAATCTGAACGGATGCCCCAAAAAGATGGCTACCCAGGTCTAAGTCTTGTGCCTTAGTATTTCTGTACTTCTTTTTTATTTAAATGTTGTTTTAATGTTGTTCCTCATCTCTGTAGAGCCTTCCTATTTTTAGCGCAGGTGGAACCGCGAGAACGTTAAGGCAATTAAGGAGTTCCGAGATACAAAAAGAGGTCTGCTTCAGAACTATTGGATTACCAAGTAACATACCGAACCACAATCCCCAAAAAAGTAAAACTTGTTGCATCCCTTCTCGATTCTGATACTAAAACTGACACACCCCCTGCCTCTCTAGTCACAAACCGCCGCCGTGTCCGAAGTTTATCTGTTGAGAGGACATCTTCTCCTGCCCCCAATTTCGCAGGGGGTGGATTAATGTCAAAAAGAAGAGTGTTAGCGGACCTGGAGGCGGAGGCTTTTGGCTCATCTTCGATTCTGGAGGCTCCTCTGGCCAAGGTTGAGCCAAAGAGCCTTATGGATGTAAAATTGGAGATAAAAGCCTCTGGCTCATCTGTCGCTGCTACCGAACTCGCTATTTCAATCGCTGAAAGGGAGAAGAAGATGAGAAGTGAGACTAGTAAGGCTATAGTTGGAGAGGCATCTGAAGATCCTGTTGAGGATGAGTCTTTTGAGAAATGGGAGCCACCCATGCTTTATCAAGGCAGGCCTATTTCCATTTCTGACTGAATTGTTGCTTCTGGAGATTTTGCTTTTGATTTAACCAAAACCCTGTTGATGCCAGTAGATATGGCATATCATAACGGACCTTAGGATATCCCCATCTTAAAGGGAAACCTTCAAATGATAACTACTACAAGTGCTACTTTATTTCTTTTTTTTGT